CAGCATACAGATAGTCAGACCAACTACCGGTCACTAAGTATAGCCACATCCAATATACCAGAATACCGATCTAACAGAGCATACCATCATATAGCCATCCTATCTACCAGGATGCCAACTAACATAACATAGTAGTAACTAACTCAAATAACAAATCAAAGGGCCAGCCTTGGTGCCTTAGACCCTTGGGTATAGTGAGGATAACTCACCTTGCAACTGCCGAACCGAACCACGAAAGCACAATCCCGAAGCACTTCCCCAAACTCCAACACCTATAGCCATCAATGATCCATTGACGTAAATAACCAAATTGCCATAATACCCTTGAAGGTCAAACTGGTCAAAGTCAAAGTCCTGGCCAAGGTCAACTTTCCTGATTGACCCTACTCGCCGAGTCAACCCGCTGACTCGCCGAGTTCCCAACTTCAGAAAACTCTTATATCACAACTCGACTCGCCGAGTCACTCCATGACTCGTCGAGTTCAACAATCTCTGAGTCCTAATGTCCAACTCACTGAGTCACCACTCAACTCGCTGATCTGAGTCTTAACCAGAAGAGGTTGGGGTTTTGCGTTCTGACTCGCCGAGTCCAAGAACAGACTCGCCGAGTCCACAGCAATCTTCAACTGACTCGCCGAGTTGTTCCTCCAACTCGCCGAGTTCATGCCTATCTTCAACAGACTCGCCGAGTCCAAGAACAGACTCGCCGAGTCCCTTCAGTCCTTTATTCATACAGAGGCTTTTCGAGCCATGCAGGGGCTCCAAACTATAGATCCACTCTTCTATGGCATAACTCCTACGTAAAGTTGCAAACTTTACGTGAAACCAAGGAGTTATAAGCCCAAATCACTCTAGGGCTAACGTTTAAGACAAGGATGCTTCACCAACAAGCCAAAGGCTGATACTTTGTGAGTTTCTGGACCAAGACAAGTCTAGATCTGAAGTAGCAACCTCAGATCTAGACCCCTAACCCGAAATAGATCCTTAACATGCAAAAAGGGCCCCAAATCTCATTCTTGAATAGATATAAATGCAATAGAGTCAAGGTAACAGCTTGTTACCTACAAATGTGCCCAAACTTCAGTAGATTCTGGATCTACAGCACTCTCTTGATGCAAGCCCTTTTGATCTTCAAGTTTCTTCCACTGGAAACAACTTCCAAGCTTCAATCTCCCTCCAAAGGCCTCACACACACGAGCTTAGGGTTTTCTGGTTCTCAAGGGCAATAAGGAGGCTGGGAGAAGGACATAAAGTCCTTTAAATAGCGTGCAACCCCCGAGATTAGGGTTTTTTTCATTCCAGCACCAACTCGTCGAGTCCAGCTTCCGACTCGGCGAGTTGGTCACTTAATTCGCGACCCAAGACCCGCTCCGACTCGGCGAGTAAGCATACCTACTCGTCGAGTCCCTTCTTCAAAATTACACTTTAAACCCTTAAATCATACCTCTGAAATTTGGGGTGTTACAGCAGAATCACGGAGAGGCGGCAGCGGCGGTGATTAGTGATGACAGCCACCACCTCACGGTGGTGGCGACGGTTCCTCTTGATCTTCTGCCCAGCAACACGTCGATACATGCGAGACACGACACGAAATGGCGGCCCTCAGCCGTCGACTTGGCGGCTGGCATCATTGAAGTTATACCGAGTTTCCGATGGCGCTACGATGGCGACACAGTAGGCGGCAAAGCAACAACGACTCGTCGGCGGTCTTCAACGGTAAGAAAGCAGTGGCGGTCCTCAGCTTCAATGTCGGCGATGTAGCAGCGGAGACGGTGGCTGCTGGGCTCGATGATGCAAACGGTGGTTGCGGAGGGTTCATATGGTGGCGGCCGGAAGTTGGGAGGTGACGGCTGCTAGAAGAGGGAGGCATAAGGGTGGCGGCTACAGTACCCGATTAGGGTTAGGGTTATGGAGGGATCGATGGGTTATATACCCAGCTCCTACAAACTTATTACCATAATGGCAAAAATGGTCCCTCCCTCCAGAAATCATTTCGAAATAAATCCCATATTTACCCTTTAAACCCCTCCTTCAGAAAACCCTTACAAATTAAGTCTGAAATTTACCTTTTTAACCCAGCCTCCTGAAATCCTTTACAAATTAAGTCTAATACTTACCAAATAGCCCCTTAGCCTCTAAAATATTTTCAAAAAAAATCCCAAAATTACTTTTTAACCCCCGAATAATCCGATTTATAACATTTGGCTCCCCAAAACCAAGACCCCACTAAATAATATGGATTTAGGGCGACTATTCGTTCATCAATATTATCTATTTATTTATTTAATAAACAAGATGTTACATTTTCACACTTGAATATCATTTATATCATTAACAACATTGGAATTCATTACAAACATGATCAAGTCAACTTACAACAAAATGATACCATTTTTATACCATTACATTGGAATTCATTACCCTTCATCACTTTATCAACAAAAAACCCCACATTTTTCTAACCTTATCCCTTACACAGACCAAATACCAAAGATAACAATCACAAACATAAACCAATTTGCACATAAATACATTTTCAGCTTGAAACCTTCATCCTTCAATGCATCACACCTTGCCGCCAACATGTTGTTCCTGCTTAAAAGTCCATTGCACTATTCCTCTAACATGTTGATACTTCTTACCAGCACATTGCACCTTTCTTCCACCGTATTGATATTTCTTAGCAGACCAGGTATGATGGTTTTACTCCTAGCACACATAGACGGGTCAACCCACCCGATAAACCCACAAACAGAATCCTTAATAGGGCACGCATAAAACCTCCTTCCGAGATTCAGTGGTGTCCAAGACGTTTTCACCAAAACGAGCTTTCCATAAAAGCAAACCACCATTGTTCGATTGCAGGTCAGGAAGGAGAAATGGAAGAAAATAGTTGGTGGGGAAGAAGATAGTCGGAAATAGAAAATGGTATATAAAGGGGGTTTTATTTTTTCTCCCGCAAAAATGGTCCCTAGAAGTAAAAAGACGGAAATACCCTCACGTGGAAGGCACATGAGGGGGTTAACGGATTGTTTTTAACGGGAGTTAACTACATGGACCATTTTCACAAACAAATCAGTCCAAAAGGACCACAAAGCCAAAAAAACTCGTAATTTGGACCAAAACACAAAAAAATGCATACCACGGTGACCATTTTTGCAGTTTTGTCAAAAAAAAAATTAGGTTTCCTCTTTTGAACATAGCAGAAGAAAGAGAAGAAGAACGTTCAGTAATCGCACTTCACACATATTTTTTTAGAAGACCGATTCACCTCTAGAATATTTACCCTTTCTAAGGAAAAGCTTAAAATCTTGTACTTAATATCAAAAATGTCACCGTGCTTTTGAATAAAAAAGAAAAAAAAATCAATTAATAACAACCATTTATTTTATATTCTATTTTTTGTAATTTAAATTCGTATAATACATGAAACAAAGTTCATTGGAGATGGTGTTCTATTTCATTTTATTGGTCTTCATCTCTGATACTCTTAGTCTGTAGTAAATTTTAATTTTTATATTTAATATCTAAAACAATAAAATTCTATAATATGACGATGCGTTTTTTCCCTGTTAAATCTATTATTTTTTTTTTACCAAAATAGTGTTTTTAAAAAAAATATATTTATCAAAATAGTGTGGTTTTAAAAATATTTACCATTTAGGTTATATTTTATACTAAATCAAAATTAGAATATAAAATTAAAAAAAAAGAAATTGATTTATCAGTGTAATTATTTTTTCGTTTTGTTCATATTTTTGATAACTTCTTTTTTTACACATATAGGTAACAAAATTTTTTAAAATGTTCAAATATGACCAACCTAGCTATAAAAAATGTCAAGTAGAACAAAAAAACTAAAAATCCCTAAATATATGATGTTTGACAAAAATATTTGAATTTATTAGGTCAGAGGTAAAATATAACTAACTTTTGTAAAGATTTTTGTTACGATAAAACAAAAACCGGACGTTGGTGCCAATGATTTCACTCTAGTCGTCATTTGGGTTTTGATACGTTTAGATACTAACCAAAAGGTACTTGTCTTAATCGTTGATTTGTTGAATATTTTAGTCTTAATTATCGGTTGCAACGCTGACTAATGTGTAAAGATGACATCGTTTTGTTGAAATTAATTCGTCAACAAAAGTTGAATAACGACACTTCAACAACGGAATCAAATGTGATGTCAACTATGACTCATTTTATTAGTCATAATAAATAATTAACCAAAATATAATCTAACTTTCTTATTTAAATCTGCAGTGAACCTAAATTCAAACACGCCAAAAAGGATTCACTAAATTATATGCTCCTAAATTCGTACACGCCAAACAGGTTTTAACCAAAATATAATTTATGTTAACCAAATCATTAAACAATCAGCAACGATAATGTATACATTCTATTTTTGAGAGACGCAATTTAGGTAGACATTCTATTTTTGACATAAGAGCTTGAATTATGTGTTCACCTAACTAATTAATTAATTCCATCTATCTATGAACAAGTTGATATCTTATTTATGATGATCAGTTATTCTTATATATGAATCATACCTTACACAGGATCCTTCAAATTTTATGCAAATTCTAACAGAATGATTTGAGTTTCATCATTTTTAGTAGTTAACTAAAGATCATTAGCAAACTGTCAACTAAAACCATGAAATTTGCATGGATCAAATTTACCGAAATAATATATAACTGAAAACTGATATTGTAGAGATGAACATGAACTACCATCATGTGTAAATTTTCACTAATCAATTTCAATTCCGTTGTATCAATCAGTAATTATTGTATTTCTGGAAAAATTATGTACATATGAAAATAAGAAATGTGAAAAAGAACGAACAAATGAAACGAATTCGAATCCGTGAGATGATCTAAACAGACTTGAAGACTCAAAATCACTTGATGAAGTGCGTTTATATATCTCTAATTCAATAAATATTTCCTACTTACATATATAATGAATCTTATGTAATCGACGACCTGTTAGTTGTTAACGTCGTTGGTTCTCCGGCTCGGTCCAGACGGCGGCACGGTCGTTCCTTTCGGAAGAGCGCTCAGAAACAAACTTCCGTAAGTTCCTGCTCCATATCTCTTGAGCGACCGAGCTTCTCCGATTTCAGAACTCAATTCACATGGAACATTTTGCTTCTTGACCACAACGCCATCGGAATCTGCGCTAATTTTCTCCGGCAGAGGTCCTGGAAGTTGAAGGTTAAGCTCCGGCGTGATGACTGCTTTAACGTGATCCGGCATGAGCGGTCTTGCGGCGGCGAGATAAGATTGCGAAATCACGAAGAACACGAAGAGAAGCGGCGCGAGGAAACGGAATACTGACATCGTCGATCTGTGAATCGTAGGGTTTCGGTGGATTGCGGTGCAAGGAGTCGAAATAGGAATGAATTAACGAGTATAGACAGGTTGCAGGATTGGTTGTTATATATATGTATATAGTGGATGTATGGAGTATTGAAAACTTTGAAAAAGTCAAGATATCTTAAAAGTCAATGAAGAGGATACAGCTACGCGCTTTTTTCACACGTAGTCACCGGCAGAGTTGGTGTCATGGTGGCAGTCACCGTTTCAGGCAACCGGAAAATGTCTTAGGCTATACGTAAGGAGATTGTCTCCCAATAAATTAATAAATATTTTCATTTAGTTTTTCTTTATTGAATATAAACTTAAGCATCAACATTTGGATATATTCTTTGTATAAGTTTAAGAATGTTTTAAATAGTTCTAAATCGATCGCCTATCATAATTATCCTTTACAATTTCTCAAAGATATATCTATTGTCAACATGTTATTTCTAATATACATTGAAATGAAACAAATTTATATAGTTTAATAGACAAAAATATGAAGGTCTCAGTATAATATTCAAATTTATATTGACTATTATATAATATAAGTCGTAATAAAAAAATCGAACTAAAAATGTTGAATAGATAACAAAGACAATAATTAATAAATTCATCATTCACGCAATGTAAATTGTTAATCATATATAATATTAAATAAAAATTAATAAAAATTAAACCATATAATCTAGTAAAAATTTAAATTAAAAATAAACCAAAAACAAATTTCAATAAATAAATAAGCCAAATTAGGGATGAGAATCAAACTACTAAAACCCGATCCAGTATCACAACAGGAACAAATACATATTAAACTAGTTCCGTATTGGATATCACTTTAAGCCGAAAACAAGTATCGATTATAGTGGGTCCGTGTTTGTGGCTATAGATAGAACAAGTAAAATAAATCGGAACCGTAAGTTTAAAGACCTCAAATAAGGCCAGAATGAGTGATAGCACTCCTAGCACCTTGTCACATCATTATTTTTTTTTGTCACGCCATTTTTTTGCCTTCCACCTCACTAACATTTTTTCAGGCACTAACATTTTTTTTTGCCTTCCACTTCACTAACATTTTTGCTGTCACGTCATTTTTTTGCTGTAACACCCCAAACATGTCTTAAAAAAATTAATAAAAAATAAGGTCAAAAGGTGATTAAATGAGAGTCAAAGTGTAGCAACCAATCCCAAACCTTTACACCTTTCCCTCTCTTCACGTTGTCTCCTTGGCGGAAGGCACATGTAACGCCCCGATTCTCAGATATTGATTTATGTATGAATCTTTTTTGGTTTTTGGGTCTACTCCACGAGTTGGCTGCCCTACTCGTCGAGTAGTAGCGGGTTGGTCCACGTGTTTTAGTGATCTACTCGCCGAGTTCAAGAGCGGACTCGACGAGTAGGAGCTGGCAGATGAAACCCTAGATTTCGGGGCATTTCACCCTATTTAAAGGATCATTGGCCTCCCCCAGCCTCCCCTTTACTGCTTCTTGTCCCTCTCAAACCCTAAATCGAGTGTGTGTGTTCTTTTGGTGTGTTCAAGCTTTGAGGAGGAGTTTTGGAGGAGGAAACACTTGGGGAAAACAAGCAAGTAGAAGCAAGAACTCGTGGGATTCAAGATCTACATCAGTGAACACTCTCTTGAAGGTATTAGACTGTTTTCCCTTGTCTCATGTTCATCAAAGATCCCTTTTGGATGGGGTTTATGAAAGGCTTCTTATGTTTGAGCTAAGATCTGAAGTTGTAACTTCAGATCTGGACTCCCTTTGGCCTCTAGACCCATAAAGTTATCAGACTTACCTAGAATAAGCCTTCCCTCAAGTGTGAGACTCCATTGCAAGCTTAGATTTGTCATTTAAGGGCCTTAAAGCTTTGCATGCACGTAAAGTTTGCAACTTTATGTGATAAGCAGGCCTTGGAAGGTTGGATCTGTAATCTGGAACCTTTGCATGGCTTAAAAAGCATCTGTATGGATGAAGGACTGAAGGGACTCGGCGAGCCACAAAGTCGACTCGGCGAGTCATAAGAAGATGGTCATGAACTCGATGAGTTGGATGAACAACTCGGCGAGTCCGATGAAGATTGTCGTAGACTCGGCGAGTCAGTAGAGTGACTCGGCGAGTCTGTTAGGGTTTTCCCAACCTTCGGACACGTGTGAGCACGACCGTCCCATTGGTTATGTTATTGTAGCAGTATTAGATGTTGAATATGAGTTGGTGCTGCATGCTAGTGGTTATGCTAGTTAGGTAGATCTGTAGGACTACCTGTGTTGTTATATGATTATTTGCATGCACAGTGGTTATGTTTATATGTGGACATGTTATGTGGTATGGGTTGAGGTGATACTGCTCTGTGCGGTAACCAACATACCTGGGAGCATTCCAGATGCGAGCTAAGGGAGACTCGTACTGTGGGCTCGGGAGCATTCCAGTTACGAGCTGAGGGAGACTCGTACTGTGGGCTCGATGGCAAGCCAGATGTGAGCTGTGGGCCCGCAAGGCAATCCAGACTCACACTGTGGGCCCAGGGGGTAATCCAGTTTGTAAAGTTGTGGACCCAATACATACTGTTGTTTATATATGTGTTATGTGCGGTGTATCGGTATTTTGGGGGAACTCACTAAGCTCTCGGGCTTACAGTTTCAGTTTATTGTTTCAGGTACATCAGGGGATCGTGGCAAGGCGAATGCGTGATCGTACAGCTCCTCATGTTTTGTTTATGTTTCTGGGAAAACTCTGATATTATACATTTTGAAAACCAGTATGTAATATTTTGATGAATTTGGAATGAGTTTTAAAGTTAATTTGAATTTTTTTTATGGGTGTTACAACACATCTTAAGGAATGGTGTTGTAATGTTTTGCATTAAATTTTGGATTAATTAATATTACTAGGGGTGTGCGCGATGCGGTTTAGAGCCAAAACTGTAAACCGCACCGCGCATGCGGTTTGAGTTATTTAGAAACCGCACCGCGAACGTTCAAAACCGCATTATGCGGTGCGGTTTGGTGCGGGCGGTTTATGCGGTTTACATGCGGTTTGAGTAATTATTTACATTAAATTTAATGACAATACTATCATTGTCGTCACTAACGGCTCACTAAATGGTCATTAAGAAATTTTGTGGTCATAGAATTGTGGTCATTAACTACTTATGAATATATATAAGTTAAGAAAACATAGTGTATAAAATAATGGTCACTGAACGTTAGTTGAAAATGAATTTGAGACCAAAAATATGGTCACTCCATTAAATTTTGCATTAAATTTTGGATTAATTAATATTACATTTCAAAAACTTAAGATAATGTCATTAATTTAGGACCTGTCAAATTATTTTCGAATATATATATATATATATATATATATATATATATATATAATCATTAATTGATTTTATCAATGCGGTGCGGTTTAAACCACAATTTCGTAATCGTAAACCGCAAACCGCACCGCATAATGCGGTTTAACAAAAATACAAACCGCAAACCGCACCGCGAGTGTTTTTATCCGCGTTATGCGGTGCGGGCGGTTTGTGTGGTTTATTGCACACCCGTAGTGTACCATATCTTAGTGAAGGGTTTGTATTTATTTAAAGAAATATTAATCACATATGAATTAGCATTATTATAAATTAGCATTATTATAAATAAGATATGGTACACTAGGGGTGGTAACAGCTAAATATATTAATCACTTGCGGTATGTTTTTCTTCAAATAAATGGAACTAATAATATAAATATAGGGGTGGTAACAGCTAAATATATTATTTATAGGGATAACCAAAATCAAATTTTCCAATAAAATTATTAATTTATAAAAATTTAACCTTTTTATTTTTCTCCAACATACACGAGGCATTCCCAAATAATTATTGACTTATTGTTAAAGATTGTATTAACAAGGTCCGTAATATGTAAAACCAAATTGAAACAAAAAAAAACTATTTATGCCACTACTTTAGAACAATCAAGTGGCGGAAAATATTATGGGTGATAGTCTTATTCTGTATAAAGACGACTTAGTGTATCCGTCAAATATGGAATTTGGTCCATCATAGATAGCTACGAAGAATTGACACAAACACAGGAAGCTGCCCATCAAGAGAGGTAGCGGTCGGATTAAGGTCAAGCTTCCAAGTGGTTTTATTTCCATCCAATATTGGATTTGAGTTTACTTAATGTTATCAACTTTTACTATTGTTGATTATATGAAATTATTATATTTTCAATTTTTGCCATTCGTTAACATATTCTATAATTATTTACTGAAACAGCATTAGTATTTTAAAGTACATCTGAAGGGCAAATTAGGCAGATTGATAGAGAAAAATTGGTGAGCCACGTGTCATCTGGAAAAATAAAAATAAAAATCAAATGCTGGGCTCATAAAAGGGAGATGTGGTCTCTAAAAGATATTTATTTATTAGGTATAATAAATAATAATATATATAAATGATAGATGATATATATATTAAAAAAGAATTAGTCAAACGAAAATTCTTCTTAATAAATGAAGGTTTTTTTGCCACATGTCAATCTCTCATGAGTTTTGACACTTGTTATTTTGTGGAATTTTTGAAATAAATATTATACACTTGTCACTTTTTGGTTTGTTTCAATTTTTAAAATTAAAGTCATATATTTATATATATAAAGTATTAAATATAATATATATGATATTAAATTGAAATAAATACGTTTTTCTTTCTTATTTTAAAGTTGTATATTAAAAAATATTTTCTATTTATATTTTAATGTTTAATCTTTTTTTAAATCAACACGTGTAATACACGGGTCTCAGACCTAGTAACTATTATCATTCGTAAATTCACGAGAAATTCTCTATCACTTGCAATGTGGAATCAAATGTCCCACTTGAATACATATTTTAATATTCATAACTTGACTTTTAAAATAATAAGAAGTCTTAATTCTTAACAGTATAGGCTTTGTTATTATACAAAAGTCAAATTGTATCAC